ATGTGCCAAGTCTCAAAGGCTGGTATCAAGTCAGCAGCTTTGCCACTCAAGAAGTTAGACTACATTCAGTTTCTCGGTACTTCTTCAGCCGATATGGTTAGACTCTAAGGAATAAAATTATGGGAGAAGGCAGGATAGCCACATCTTAGGAAGATTACACTGAAAAATCTGGTGTCTTCCCATTGGTCCTCAATGTAAAGTAAGAATTTTGGGTATGAACATCTCTTTGATTTTTTCCACACTAAGCAGTATAGCTGAAAAAAGTCCCAATAAATACAAATATACAAAGACTAAGATTTTTCTAACTTGATTGTCATTTGCAGCTAGATAAAACTGGTGCTTTTTAGAATGCTCAGCAGTGTCTCTGGCCTCTTCCCACTATCAGTAGCACAATGTCTTCACTACCATTATGCCAATAGCAACAACAATAATAATACTAGTATCACTAGATTTTGCTGTCCACTGGTTGGGCCACAGTCATCTCCAGTTAAGAAATACTGTTTTATGAGTTATTTTAATAGTACTGATGTCATGAATTGATCCCAAAGCTGGACTTTTAGAATACCATGTAGGAACTTTATATGTAAAGAATCAGATGGTAAATATTTTAAGCATAACAGGCTACACACAGTCCCTGGTGTATATTTTATTTTTGCTTTGTTTTTCAAGTGTAAAAAATATTTAGCTAAAATAGATGATTATTTCTTCTGGTAATTTCTATAAGCTGGAATCTTCATCTAGCTACTGGGTTTTTATTACTTTAACCTAGCAGTTGTGTTGCCCTTCTCAGAATGCCAGAATCAAATACCTCTAAGTAAAATTCTATTAGTCTTGTTTGCAATTTAATTCTATCAAATGTACTTAAACAAGAACAGCTTAAATAAAATGGAAACTCAATATCTGAGCCAAATGAGATTCTATAGTAAATGAAAAACCACATCCTTAGTGAGAATATGTCCTTTTTCTGGTATGGAATTAAATATCCCATGTGGTTTCTTTGAAGATGTAGACATGATATATAGTACAAAGGAAGATCTCCTATCAACTTGAAAGCCAAAATACATTTTGATATGACTCAGAGGTTAGTAAGGAAGAAAAGTTGATGTTGGCTTGGGAACTGCCTATAAACTTATAAAATATTGAAACATCATTTTGAAGTTACATTTCAAGGTAGACTCTATGGATTCTTCTTTACCCATTGCATAAATGCTTTACTAAGCAAAGAAGGGTCTATTCTCCAAGAATTTATTGAGTATCAAGTATTTGACAGGGGCTTTTGGTGACCTAGGATAGAATGTGCTTGGACCCGATCAGAGAACAAACACTTTATCAGGAAAATAGCCATGTTTATCTTTCATGTTTTAATATATTGATAATTAAAACTAGTGTTTTGCTTTGGATATCTATCTATCTATCTGTCTATCTATCTATCTATCTACATATATATATATATATATATATATATATATAATTTGCAGAGAAAATTAAGCAAGAAAATAAAGTTATTATCCAATTAGGGCAGTAGGATAAGCAGGGATATAAATAAGACTTTGGTCAAATATATTTCATTTGGATAATTTAAAAATGTTCACTTAAACTCATTTAAGTAATTTATCATATGAAAGACAGTTGAATGGAAGGCAATATCATGAAAAGAACATTAGGATATAGGTTCAAATCTGTGTTCCAGTTCTGTCCTTGTGGCCTTTTTTCATGGATAAGTCAGCTAACTTCTAAAGAGTGCCCTTTCTTTCCGTGAAATGGGGTAGTGGCACTATCTCAATATATCTAAACACAGTATGCTTATACATTGTAAGTGGGGCAAAGATAATAAGAACATCCTAAGGACTCAGCTATACCAATTCTTCTTTTTACATGGATGATTCCAGGATAAATCCAGTATTTTATTGGCTATAGCCTGGATTAATTAATAATGGGGTGTTCTTAAATATCTTCTTATATAATCATGAAAATATTTATCCTAAAGCCCATGAGACCCTACTTTGAAACTCACTGATATTAGCATCGTTGTTTTTCTGTTAAAATTATAAGGAGTTAAATGTAATTGTGTAGTAAAATAAAGACTTTTGAAGATTAGTGTTTATTTAAAGGGGTGAAACTGCTGAGGCCTCCTTAATATCATTAGACCCTATCCACTTCTACCAAAAATTATAACCTTTCCTTGTAGCCTTGGGAGGCAACTATTGCGTGGGAAAATCACCTCCTACACAGTGTGGGGTTGATTTCTTTACTACAGTGTCAGAGTAACATAATCACATCATTTGCACAAATTTGAGAAAGCACCTTTGAACCAGGATCAATGAAATTTTCAAACAGACTTTTCCTTGTTATTCTCTTAATTACATTTTAAAACGTCAACCTTTTGTCTGAACTACCTTCCGTTTGTTTATTTCCATTCTTTCTTCTTCTTCTTCTTCTTCTTCTTCTTCTTCTTCTTCTTCTCCCTCTCTCTCTCTCTCTCTCTCTCTCTCTCTCTCTCTCTGTTCAGCAAGTAGGTGTCCTCATACATGAAGAACAATATCCTTCATCAAATAGTATTATTCAGAGAGAAACATTATGCCTGAAGTGCTTTATGCAGCCCTACAAGTTGCTTCCTGCAGTTTGGCAGTACCCAAAAAACTCGAGCCCTGCTCAAGCTCTGCCCACTCATTTAACTTCAAATGAGATGCTATAAAATGCACAGGGGCTGTTAGGTGTAGTGTACACTGTTAAATGCCTGTGCTGCTGTCCTTGATGATAATACAAAATATGAGAATTATACTAGCAGTGACAGTAACAATAACACTTTGACTCCCAATACCTTTTGGAAAGGACAAGTCATCATGTCTCTAAGTGGGAAAAAAGAGGGTGGGGGGAGTGCTCACTCCCACACTTTACATTGCCATGACTACTGAAGAGCCATTTTCCTATCCCCCTGCTCCATACCTACCAAAAATAGGGGTTGAGTTGAGTGCATAAAGAATAAAATGGATATTCATTTTAAAATCAAAGGCAATTCCCTATGTTTCGTAAGTATGCATTGTTAGATGCTGTATGAACTGATTTGCCTAGAGAGCCATCATCTGGAAATGAGTTTCTGATCACTATTTGGCTTTGCTTTGTTTTTACCCAGACTCCTAAACCATGAAAAATCATCCCAATTTTTAGAATCAGTCCAGTGATTTCAAGACTGTCCTTTGACATGTAGGAAAAGCCAGCCTCTTTCTCTCCAATCCCAGCCTACTTATGATATGCTTTTTTGTTGTTGTTTTAAACCGATCAAAAGCAAACAGAAAGAATATACTTGCAAAATATCTGATGTGCCTGTTGATGATGTTTCATTAACCTTGACACTGAATGTAACTGGTTACTGCCTGTCACAGTGGCCTTGGTGGTTTGTTAGAGAGGGAGATAAACACCAATGAAAATAGCTCAGTGTGTGTGTGGGGAATCCAAGGAGAAACATAACTTAGTAGATCATGTACAAAAAAAGAAAAAAAATGAAGCATTCTCAACTGGCCAGGCTTGCTACATTCTAGTTTCCTTAAGCTTGTGATAGATCTACTACACACATTCTTGAGAAAGCATTCCTAACAGTATTTACCTGTATCACAATATACGCTCCGAAGTATCAAAGTGGAAAGCCCACTTTGATGTTGAAAGACAACCTCAGAGAAAAGCAAACATCTCAAGACTAATGTTAATAAGGTTCTGCAATAACTGAATATGTGCGGTGATTTGTGTGCTATTAGCAATACCACAGGCCACTTGATGTGAGAATCTTCAAATTCCAGTCAGTCCCCAGCCAGATTCTCCTCTTCACTAATTGCTGGTGGATAGTGTGTCAACAAACAGAGAGGGAAATTATAGAGAAAATGAGCCTGTCTCTAGAGACACATGGTAACCTGGAGAGGAAGAGACAGAGTAAAGAGTTCCCCAAGCTCACTAGCAGACTCCCTTTGGCAGAAGGAGGAATCTAACCTTCCACTATGCCCAGAGACCCCACAGGAAATCAGCACTTTCCATCATCTCTCTGGCATCTCAGCTGGGACTGGTTCCTGTCTGCCCTCCCCAGAGCAGAAGCTGAAGTAAACAAAGCTCATAGTCTCCACCTAGATTCAGATGGAACATTCTCACTTTTGTGTTATTTTTTTTTTCTTTCATGGTCTCACCACTCTTGCATTTCTAGTCATCACTCCTCAGCTTTCCTTAGGAACTTCTTGAAAGTTATCACGATTAATCCCACTTTTCACATCAAATTCCCACCTCAGGCTGATGGCACAACCAGTTTCTGTTCTGCGTTCCTGTGATGTTCTCAGGGCCATATCTGGGCTCCTGATCTGCCTCTGGATCTGCCCCTCACCCACGCATTCTAATAAGCCCCGATGAAAGTATATCCACCAGTTCTCTCTTTTCCCAAAGAAGTTGCATTTAAGTGGAATGAAAGTACTAGGAAAGATTAAATAAACTGAATTGCAAGCACCATTTCCTACTGTCAAATGCAGACATGGCTACCTTTCTCAGGGAGGAGTGGGCTGGTGGCTGCCCGGTCCTCACCAGGGACTACACTCTTGGTTGGGTGTTGGTGGCTGTTATTTTCCTTACCATGCTAACTCACATTCTTCTGACCCCTACCTGCAGCCCACACCAACCTTTCCCAAAAGACTTTGGGTAGGGGGACTAGAGGAAGGGAGGTGAAAAAATGGGGAGAGGGGAATGTTGTCTCTGATCCTCACTTCCCTCTTCCTGCATAGTATTTTGTTCTCGAGTAGCAGGACTTTCTTGAATATATTCTAATGTTCCGCTTCTTCTTGGCCCAGTTATCCCAAAGCTTCCCTGCCCCCAAGCCCACTGCGACCAAAACAAGCGCACTGACTAAAGCACGGTGGCCGCCGCCGCCCCAACTGTTGCAGCAGCTGTGGGGTGACACCAGAGGCTGTAAGGGCAGGGCCCGGCTGGGACCCGGACCGGACCTGG